ATTGTCTTATCTCCTGAGATAAGTAAAACAGTAAAGTCAATAGTACCGATGATCGTTACATACTTTTATACTTCTTTGTTTAACTGGGAGTGCGTTTGTTTTTTTGTTTTTTTTTTGTTTTTTTTTGTTTTTTTTTTTGTTTGAGAAACAAATTTCCATTATACACAGTATCGTAATTTTCCTTACAGACGGTGACTTGACTTAAGGTATTTCCATGTAGCGTGTGTAAAGGGAGGAAGAAAGGATGGTGATTATACAATAAACTCCAGTTTATCCGCTCTTGAAAAGCAGGATCGCTACTTGGCCCAAGTAAAAATAGATAAAATGTCTTGTTTCGTGTGTCACATAGCTTCCAAAATTACGGCCTACAATGCAATGCCACGTTGGATTGTACTTTTTATCAAATTCTTTCTTAATATAGGCTGCAATGTCCTAAAACAAAAAGACAGAATTAATTCATCATGCTCTGAACTTCTATTTACTTTGCCCTCAACTTGTTAATCAACTACTCTTTACATTTACAATTTACTATGTGTACCATTTCATATCATACACACAATGTTTATAATAAAACGCATTCGATCCATCGACGTATTAATGCATACCTTTTCTATATTGTACTTTTCGAGGGCTTGAGTTGCACAGTCTACTGCATCCTGCTGCATCTCCTCAGACATATCAGCATTCTTGATCACAGCCTTTCTGTCTGACATTCTGGTAGCTCTGGAACGTAGAGAAAAAAGGAAAAGAAAAGAGCTAGGTATGCTTCTCTGCTTATTGTACTGAAAGGGCATTAAACGTGAGAAAACCATTGCTAAGATACTAAGGCTACACTTCTCGTCTTTTTTTTGTCATTGAAGGACGAAAAGAAAATACATACAGATTGAACCTGGAGGAACGAATGCGCGCAATTTTGACAGTAGCGTATATGTCATTAGCCGGCATGACAATCCATCAGACAATAGTTAGAAAATTCAGAGGTGGATCAGGTGTGTTTAAGCGAGAACGATCGCGACTAGAATAAACAGCCGTAGTGGCGAAACGCGGGAGGACGATGTTTTGTCGATACGGGCGACGAAACGGGAATAATAATTCGTTTACACGCGATCCATCGCAACCTAGGACGTGTTAACGGCGGTTATTTGAATATTAGCATTGCACCGACCGGAACGACGGCTACAAGGAACTGGGATAGCTAACTTTTTGACATAAGAGTTGTCGTGTTCCCGGTCTAAAATGAAGAGGGAGAGGGAGAGAAAGAGAAAGAGAGAGAGAAAGAGAGAAAGAGAGAGGAAGAAAAAAATACATTTTCCATTTGTTATAACGCATCGACATACCTTTTCGGATAACACGTTCACGAACTGATATCACACAAAAGAACGATCTTCCGTGTCCCGGCCCCGACAGTAATATGTACTTATTTTTTTTCCCCTCTGCGTGAACTGATTTACACGAAAAATTTTGCTCGCTCAAGCCGACACCGACTTTTCCTCGATTGAGTTCAAGACTGAAGTGCCCGTACTGTAATCCTGCCCACTGATTGGCCCGCGATTAGGGTCTTCTATCACGGTCTTCTATCAACCCAGAATGCCTTGCCGGTAGCAACCCGCGTAAACACGAATTCGAGTAATCGATATGAAACTTTTTGAATTTAGAAACAATCCAGCTCGCACACTATTGACTCTATGAATCTAGATTGACTATATTAGACAATTGTGCTACATTGTACGATTGACTTTATGAATTTAGAAGTATTCTGGCTTTATATATATGCGGAATATTCTATATACAATATATTTATATATATGCAATATATATATATATATATATTTCATATATATGCGGAATGATTCTATATACAATGGCGAACAGAAGTATTGGTTTCACAGGACACGATCATTTATTACGATACTCGTTATGTTTTATAATATTCTTACAAAATATGAAAAACGATTGATTTTGGTTCTTAAAAATAGTTACGTAAAATTTCGTTCGAGAGAACTGTTTTATGAGATTGATTCGTCTATTACAAGGGTACAGTTCTTGTATTGATTCTTGTCGCTTTTAAGTTACCTTTCTCGGCCTGTCGCTTTTATTCAATGTTTTACATGATTTCTAAATGATCCACGAATTAAGGAAAATTTTTTTTATTTAAAGATACGTGAAAGTTTCGTTTCATTGAAAAAAAATTTTTTATTCATCGGCAATCTTGAGGTTTCTGAAATTAACGAAAATCTACGTCAATCGATTCTTTTTCTCCTTAGTTATTTCGCGAATAAAAATCTAAACTCTTTTTATATATATCATTCGAATAAAAATTTCATGACAGTCTTGGAATATGGTTGAAATAGGTTATGCGCATTTTTAATTTTTCAGATATATGCATGTAAATACTTGATGGAGACATGCACGACATGCAAAAATGTTATTGTATGTCCTCACGAAACAAATTACAGACAATTTGCGGGTCAATATCGGTGAAATGCCGCTGAACATGTTTCTTAACTGAATTAAATCTGTTCTTGCTTATTTGCTTTCAGTTGTATATAGACAAATTGGAAAGTCTCTGGTCCGCTAACATAAAATCTCTAAAGACGTATAAAAGTTACTTAATTTTTTACGCTCAATGAAAAATGTTAACATAAAAATCCATCATGCGTTTTTAATTTCAAACATAACTATTTAAACCAAATAATTGAGTTCATTGTAAGATGGCGCTTACAATGGACGAGGAGAAGTAAATCGTTACTGTTTGTGTAAGATGGCGCTACTGTGAAGTTAACTAACTTAACCACACTTTTTGTGCACATATACGCCACTTATGAGTATGATATCTCTCAAGTGGCTTGATGCGCATGTGTTAAGTGTTCAATCAGCTGACTGTGACAGCAACCACGTACCTTAGAGCTTAGACATTTTTTAAAAAAATTTCTAATTTTCTTTGACAGTCTATTTTAATGGATATTTAGAAAAATTACCACTGGAAATTGTTCCCTATGAATGTATACAGCTTTCTGATAAGTTTTTGTAAATCTATCTTCCTCTTGTATTTAAAATCGGTTTAGGTGTCAGTAGGAGTACTATTGGTACAGGTATGTTGATTCGAACTGCGCATGTGCAGTAAATTTCCGATAATCTTAGAGAGTCCTTTATTAGAAAGGCTTTCAATCGGTGATCCACTAGTGCTATTCCCGGCAATAGTATTGCGCTGAAAGTTCGGAGGAATCTTGAAGCATCGATTTCGAAACGTTGTATGTAAGAAAAATTTTCAAGTTTCTCACTTCACAACAGAAGCTTGTTTGAAAATGCTTCGCACCGTTCTGTGCTTTTGCGCTTTCGCGGCGCTGATTAATGCCGATATCATGAGGTAAGTGTAACAATACTTTTCGTAAACAAATAACATGACTTTCCACAATTGATTGAATTATTATACGTATATCATTATACGTTATATCATTTGCGATACATGTACTGAGAAAAATTTGTAAATATTCTACTATACTTTAAACTTACACATATTTGATCCTCCATGATACTTTTTCTTAATTTTTCTTAATTTATATATATTTATACCGTTAAAAATGAATTAATTTAAATATGCGTAGATATTTAATTTATGTTGGACATTAAATTTGTAATTATACGACATTGTAATGATTATTCTAAAAAAAAATTTAATTAAATGACATGTACGTTATATGTAGCGCCAACGACTTTGACAAATTTAGTTTTGTACAATCTATTTCCTTTGTTCTGTCGAATTTTAATTTCCTTTATTTTGTTTCTCATGTTTTGAATATTTAAAATTTATATTAAAAATCTTAGATCGTTATACTTTAATAACAAAATTTTGAAATAAAACTTTCAGAATAAAAAAAAAAAAAAGAGAAAAAATTGTTTTTCAATAAATTGCTATGTACTTTTTAAAAAAATCTTGCTGAGATTACTAAAGATCACTCCATTATAGATATAATTGTTAACATTGATTTCAAAAATATTCCCTTCTTTGTTTGAAGAATTCCTTTGCACAAGATGGACAGCGTTAGAAAACAATTCAAAGAATACGATACTGAAGTGTATCAAGCTCATATGGTGCAAGGAGATTCTCCTCAACCAGAACCTCTTTCCAATTACCTGGATGCTCAATATTATGGTGTCATTAGCATTGGAACTCCGGCGCAAGATTTCAAAGTAATCTTTGATACTGGTTCTTCAAATTTGTGGATTCCATCTAAGAAATGCCACCTTACCAACATTGCTTGCAGTAAGTACACTTTTGGTATTTTAGAAAAACTTTGTTACTCTATATTCAAAATTTTTTTTTGCATCTTAATATCTTACCATAATTTATTAATATATATAATTCATGTGATTCTTGTTATATAATTATCACAAAAAAGACGTCATACGTAATATATAAAACTGGAATTTTAACTTATAAATCTGAAAACGACAGAAACAAAAACTAAATTTTTTAGCAATTATTATTATTTTTAACAAATTTTAGATATATAAAAAATGTAGATATAATATTGCAGTATGATTTATCAGTACTTGAGTTAAATGCAACTTTATCTCCGAGATAATGATAGTAGTACATTTCAAGTATTTATAAATTAATGATGTTATTAAAAACAACTAGAGATTGAGATCATATTATTTTTTCGATTAATTACTGCTATCATTATTGTTAGCACTATTGTAATTTTACCTAGGTAATGATTGAGTATTTTATAAATCAATGATAAAATTCAAAACTTCTATTAAGATCGCTATTATAAATCAATGATAAAATTCAAGACTTCTATTAAGATCAAGATCATTTTGCCCTCTTTTCAAAATTTAATATAATACGTATTCTTTACAGAACTGCACCATAAATATGATAGCACAAAATCGTCTACGTACAAAAAGAATGGTACCGATTTCGCTATCCGTTATGGCTCTGGCAGTCTTTCTGGTTATCTCTCGACTGATGTTGTGGAAGTAAGTTTACATGCAAAGTATATAAATAGAATATATTTCTTCCTATCTACTGACTTTACTTCCCATAGTTCTCCATCCATTATCTGTAAATAACGGTAAAAAAGATATATATACATCAAATTTGCTTTCCATTTTGTATATCCTCATAAATTTCTTTGTAAATATTCTCATCTATCACTTATCGCCATGTATGATCAAATTAGTCGAATTGAAAGAGAAAACTGAAAAATTGACTAACTGTACTTATTACTTCTCAGATTGCTGGACTGAAAGTCGCGGATCAGACCTTTGCCGAAGCTATGAGCGAACCCGGATTGGCTTTTGTCGCCGCTAAATTCGACGGTATCTTAGGTATGGGTTATTCTAGAATCGCTGTCGATGGTGTGACACCTGTTTTCTACAACATGGTCAAACAAAGATTGGTACCTCAACCCGTTTTCAGTTTCTACTTGAACAGGTATCGCAAACTAATCTGTAAATTATTCAAAGTAATTTTTGAATTATTCAAGGTATCGTGCAAAGAAAATCGAAAAGTTAAAACCTGTACTATTTGTTAATTCCAGAAATCCTAACGAGAAGTTTGGTGGAGAATTAATCTTGGGCGGTTCAGATCCACAGCACTATGAAGGTTCATTCATTTATGTCCCAGTCGACAAAAAAGGATACTGGCAGTTCAGGATGGAAGGGTATTTTAAATTTGGGAAAATAAATTTTGCAATTCTAAGAAAC